GAATTTGTCCTTTCTCCATTGCATCTTTGGACCTTTCATCCTTTCTTATCGCCCCTTCTTTGGTGCCTCTCCCGCACTCAAGTGGTTAAGTACTCCGCTTCTAGAACCTATCTACAATGGATCTGAATTTCAACTTTTTTTTTTAACAACCAGTTTTGTAATCCTGGGGGTTCCATAGACACTCTGAATCAATTCATTTCAGAGTGCTCCACTAGCTAAATTTACTGACTTATCACAAACATGTCTATTAGGTTTTTTTTTTGAAACCGGGCCTCCCTGTAGCCCCAGAACTCCTTATGTAGACCAGCTGGCCTCAGTCTCAGAGATCCACCTGCCTGCCTCCTGCTGGGATTAAAGGCATAGACCACCACACCTGGCTTCTATTAGCTTTTCATAAATTGTTTGACAATCTGTATTGGATCTTGAGAACTGTAGTCATGGTGTCCTTATTTCCGTCCTCTCTTCTTTATTTCTCAGGTTCTGTTTCTCCTAGCACTTCCCACTCTTTTCACAGACTTTCTCCTTGATCACCCTCAATCTTGTCTTTTCCTTGGTATTAATTCAATTGCCATCACTTCTGTGCCTTAATTTCCTGGTGCATAAAATGGACATAAACATAGTACCTACCTCACAGAAGCAAGACTAAATTGCTTAGAATAGTACCTGGTTTACAACCTCTGTTTAGGTTAGCTACTACGTTTTAAGGTTTCTGAAACATTGTGGCCTAGGTTAGGTATGCTTGGAATGACATGCAAAGCAGTGTAGCATAAGGTTATTTGATAGAGGTGATTTTGAGACAAGGATGTACTCATTGTCTAGAAATAACTCAAGTGATAAACAACCAGAAAAAGGGTTATGGGACTTCTCAGCATTCCTCAAGAACATTCAGAATACTAGCGTAGGGAGTCAGAAATCCAGTCAAGGCCCCTTCAGTCTTACTGTTTGGGTACTAGTGAAAAGGTTGGAAAATTTGGTCATATCCATGTATCACACACCATGCTGACACGTGATGATGTTGGTCAGTGGGAATACAGTGGTCAAGCCTTAGAGATTAAGGGCAGGATCATCTTTAAAGTAAGTTAATAAGGGGCCGGAGGGATGGCTCAACAGTTAAGAGTGCTTGTTGCTCTTACAGAGGATAGTTCAGTTCCCAACACACATGCTGAATGGCTCAAAACCACCTGTAACTCCAGCTCCAAGGGATGTGACACCCTCTTCTGGCCTCCATGGTACCTGCATGCATGTACAGGTACACACACATACACACATTTTTTAAAAGAAAGCTAATAAAATATTTGTGAGAGCACCTCGTATTTAAGGCACTACACAATTCAAAATTCTAATTTCTATGAAAAAATTTCCAGTATTCAAGCAATACAGTAGTTTAGATTATGTAGTTGCTTTTGCTGGTTGTCTGCATACTCAGCTTCTGCATCCTGTGGCTCTCAGTGGGGATAGTACTGACCCCTCTGGTGGTAGTAAATGGGAGAAATTTTTCAAAAATATGTGGCATCCCTATAAAAGAAAAATTATTATTTACGAGGGAGGACGCATTTAAGGGAGCCTTTATATCCTCTAGTGCACAAGAAACAGTTCTTCCAGACAGGCTTTAATCACCTAGCAGAACAATCTCTTCATAATATAGTATCTAGAACCTATTACAGACACACATACACATAACATACATACCCCTCTATTTTTTTTAACAAAGTAACAATTTTCTCAATTCTTCTAAGGTATTTACCAAGTACTATTCTAAAATTATCACAGAAGTTGTTTCTAATAGAGCTTAATTCTCTGGAGAGAAAAGTCATTACCCCTATTAGGATAGTCTAGCTGCAGATTCTTTGGAGAGCAAAGATTGCTGTCTTGGTGACTAGCATAGGGCTAGTTCAAGCTCATTTGTAAAATGAGAAGAATGTGTAAACAGTTACTGTTCTCAAGCACCTTCGGAGGAAAACTACACAAAAAAATCTGAAGTTTTTAAATTCTGAGAATAAACATCCTGTTTGAAGAAGCAGTCTGTGCCATCACACCATAGCTAATTCCTCAGAGTGCTCTTCATGTGTGGCACACAATACACCCCAATCATTTGTGGCTTGTCCACCCCCTACACATTGTTTAAATGATTTCTGTCTCATTCAGTGGCTAAAATCAGGTTTGGGTTCCCAGAGCTGAGAAACACTAATGGGAATGACTATTCACACTAGACAGTGCAAAAGCCTGTCAACTAAATACATAATTATTAACACAATGTATGTTCACTTTGAAATCAAATGTAGTTATAAGACTAAGAAATGCAACCTTTACCATAAAGTGTCAAGCAATATATGAAATATAAATACAGTAAAACTTTGAATAGGTATCCAACCAAACTTTTATTGGGATTTTATTGCAATCTACTTTTGGCAATAAGGGAAAAGTGACCATAAGAACTCTTATCAGACTTTATTCAACAAAGCAGTTTTTCGTGAATGCTTAAGGTCAGTGTACAGTCAGCTCAGCTTCCAGTATCAACTTGAGTACCTCATGGATATTTATGCCAGAATGACAATAAGGCAATGCAAGATGCTACATTGTCTAAGGTTAAACCGTATTTTACATATTATAATTTTAGGACAGTAAAGTATACTAATACTCCACAATAAATAAGGTTTTTAAAAATGTGTTGCTTAGCCCTTGTTGAAAGAATTCTATTATTAGCTTATTCTCTAAGTACTCCAGTTAATAAAGGTTTGATTGTATTTCAAGAACTCTTGATTCTTCCAAAGATAAAAAAATTAGTTATTACTTGTTACATCAAAAGTGAAGCTTTAAAGCACATTCACACCTGTCCTTAAAAGCATGTTTATATCATATATAACTTCTCATGCCTGGCAACATGGCTTATATGGCAGAGTTATATGTTAGGACAACTAGAGGGCAATCCTCCCATCCCCACTTCCTCCAAAAAGCCACACTTGGCCTCAATGAAAGTTATATTTTATTGCCATGCTACAAAATGTATGAAGTTGGCACTGATGGGGAGAAATAAAGAACAAAGGGCAGGAATGGATAAAGGGCAAATGATGCTGTTACATATACAACAGGTTTTATTTTAATTAACAGTGGTTAAATTTTGCCAATATTAAAAATGCAAACCAAAATTTAAAATGCTGATATGAAACAGCATTAAAGCACAATTTATGCATAGTACAATGTCACATCTTTCATTAGAGAAATATGGAATGTTTAGAAAAGAAATTAACCATAGGGGGTAAAATTTATATCTCATATACAATTTGGCAATGGTAGTCCCACTGTTAGACAATTTTTATAAAAGAAAAATTAAAAATCTAATAAGCTACCTTTATACAAAGTTGCTATATTTATGCCTTTATGTAGGAAAAAAAACATTTATAATGCAAATTAGGACATACAATAATCTTACAGTATTATACAATGTAATGAAAATAACAACACAAAGTTTGCCTTAATAAAATGTGTATTTTGCATTTGCTAATGCAAATGTGGCACACTGGTGATTACTGTACTCTTCATACCAGTCTGTTCCGTGCTATCATTGTCCAGTTGCCAGAGAACTGCAACAATAGTGATGCTACTAAAGAATTGTGTTATACCCCAGAAGATGAGGAAGCAGGGATGGGGGAACAGGGATGTCAAGAACAAGAAGAAGAGAGGGTGCTGGTTTGGGCAGAGTATATTCTGGTAGGTCATAAAATTTTTGTTCATTTTTCAAGCCAAAACATTTTCTATACATTTTGAAATTTCATACCAATGCCTTTATTCAAAGTTGGCAAGCATCATGGAAAAAGTAATTAGTACCATATACCTCACACCTCAGAAATATGAATGAGATGCCAATACATCACTTACTTCTAAATGATGTCTCTGATGGTATGTCTATTTCAAGAATATATATATTTATACATACACATGACACATTGCACAAAATACTTTCGGCATTATGGGTTACAGAACAGCAAGGAGAAACTTTGTTAGCTTGTTAAAACCTTTACCTTGAGGCAAATACATGGTGGCACATTGTTGGGAAATTACGAAAACATAAGGCCCCTGTCCCATTTTTAATAGAACATTATTGAGGTACATTTTTATATGCTGTGCCACAGATTTTGGGTGGGTGGGGTGGGGTGTGGAGATAAACACTAGTTTACTTATAACATTGTACTGGGGGGTCAACATTAATATTTATAAAGACAAAGCTTGCTTGGCAAATTTTCTTAAGTCCCAAATGTGATCTATTCTGGATATACTGAGAAGTGAAAAGGTTTTTGCTGAGTCTTCAAGAGTAAAGTGCGTGTATCTCATCACTCCACAGCAGCAGTAAATAAAGGAACTATTTGCCAATCTTCCTGGAGGGAGGGAAGGCACCGTATTTTCATTTTTTCAAAGGAAGATGAAACTGGGAAATAAAACATTCAGAGAAATACTGATAATACCCACATCAGTTTGCAACCCTGGTCTGGAATAAATGTCATGATCTATATAGATAAAAGATGATTCTATCTGGGGGAAAAACAAGTGAAAATGATTATATTTTCAAAATTAAAAAGCAGGGTCACATGTCTTATCAACAAAACCAATTATCTAAAATTAGATTTATCTCAGAGAATCTGAGACATATGGCCAACAAAATATCTCATTCTAAAATGCACCATATAGTAACAGGTACATTCTTCCAGGACAGAGCTTAATGCCCATTAAGAGACTGGTGTAGCCGGGCCTGATGGCACACGCCTTTAATCCCAGCACTTTCAAGGCTGAGGCAGGCAAATCTCTTTGAGTTCAAGGCCAGCTGGTCTACATAGCCAGTTCCAGGCCAGCTACCAAGCCCCTAGCATGGAGGGCGTCACTGAACTTTGGTCAAGGAAAAAGTGTCTGTGTGGCATCTTCCTTTCAGGAAACACAATGCAGTGAGCAGGATACTATGATGGTTATAAGATCCCAATAATCATTCTAAGCAGTGGGGGGGGGAAGAGAAGAAGAAGAAGAAGAGAAGAGAAGAGAAGAGAAGAGAAGAGAAGAGAAGAGAAGAGAAGAGAAGAGAAGAGAAGAGAAGAGAGGAGAGAGAACACAGAGAGACTAGTATAAGGGACAGTGGTATTCTAAATGACTTATTAAATAGTAACAAAGGTGATTTCCAGAAGATATCTAGACATTACCACCACCTGTATATCTCTGCCTAATGTTCATATAGTACCCTAAAATCAAATCAAATTCTTAGCAAACATATTGGTCCCATTAAACCATGTACTATTTAAAGCATAAACTGTAATGATTCAGAGTCACTAAAAAGACATAAAACCGAATTAGCATCTGGAAGGAAAAGTGAAAAGGATAAAGAAAATAATAAAGCATCCAACCTCCAAAATGATTAAATAGATGAGCCCTTTCATTTGGAGATTTATGTCTGCCTTAACTGCTTATTACAGAGGAAACCATGTGCACTGATCCCATCATAACTCCTATTCCACATTACAAAACCATTATTGAAATTTGGCACAATTAGCAACCTATTCAGAAGAAAGGATAACTGGAACAGTATATTAAGAGTGGAAACTGCACATCTAACCACTGCTCTTTTTAAGAGAACAGCGAACATTTTAGTAAGCACCAAGTTCACAGAGGAATAAAGAATATTCTGCTATGCTATAAAACCAATGGCACTGAAAACAATAAAGACAACTGTAATAATTTAATTTTTGCAATGGTCCCACTCTATTGTTCTGCTAATCCATTCACTGTTGTAGGATTAAGTTATTTACTGAACAGATTAGATTTTGTGTGATTGAAATTTTTTCTTGTTAAATTAACCTTAGTCACATCTGGTAGATTCAGATCATAATTTCAAATTTCCTCATAATTAGAGAAAAAAGTAAATATTTTTGCAAGGTTACCTAACCTTCTTTCCACTCTTCTCTTTATTCTACATTGTTTGAGAATTTGGGACATTCTTGATTTTAAAAGAGTTCAACATCTGGACATCAGTTTATATAAACTCTGTTTATTTTAGATCCTAAATTATGACACAATCTCATTGCTAGGAGACTTCCCTGTACCTGCTATGCTGGCAATGATATTAACATTTTACTGAAAATCTGGGGACTATAAAGTCAAAGGACTGCAGAGCTGAGAAACTCTAGAGTGGGTAAAGTGGGACTGCAGCCATGTAGCTGAGGAAATCCCTGCTAAAGTGCTGGGGAATGTGCCCACAGAGAAGACAGTACCTTTAGGCAACTTTGCAAATTTAAGTATCTTTCTTTTTTTCTCAGCTGCTAGAGAGATCACCTATGGACACAAGTGAAATTTAAAATTGAGATAATGTTTTTCATCAACTTGAAAAGTAAACAGCATATAAATAAATACTGGACAAGGGCAACCCTGTTACAGAATAACAGTAAGTTCCAAATGAACCTTCAAGACCATAATTTGACAAAAATGCAAACAAAGTAACAATGAACATATAATCCAATTTCAAAACTATATACAAACTCAAACATTTTAAACTGAAAGACATTACGCAACAAAATAAGACAACCCAAACACCAAAGGAAAAAACTGAAGATAAATGGGAACTTAATGGCACAAATGCCTCCAGAAAACAATGTGCTGCAACAATCTACAGGAAAGAACCTCCAAGAGGTCGTGGTTTAGATTTTCAAATGTTTTGGGGGAAAAGTGACCTGAGACTGATTCCTAAACCTATTGTGATTCTGAGTAAGATCTGGACATGCTCTTCAAATGACACTATGAGATGAGTAAACAAAATCTGGTCTCCTGCTTGACTCTCAATATGCAAATATATTCATGATCCTGGACTCTTTCTAGTAACACTGAAGGCTGAGGAGCTGACTGGTATAAAAGGAGGTGTGATTCTTTTCTTTTACCTATATTTTGGCCCAAGTCAAAAAATTAATTAATGAAATAAAAGATTCCTCATGTTACATGCTGGAGACCATATACTGTGAACAGTGAATCTACAAGTATTACTTTCAAAGCCTAGAGTTATCTGTTAGCAACGCAAGTTATCAAGAGGCTTTAGAAAAGGTTTGAAATGCCAACCACACCTTAGACATGAAAGATATGCATAAGTCCAAATATAGGATAAAAATCAACCAGCATGTCGTTCACTTCAGTCTCATCTTAAATAGGCACTGTGAGAATGGGAATGCTGCTGTACAATAATGAGTTGTATATAATGAAGTTAGTGTTCTGTAAGGAGTACCTGCTCTACATTAATTCCCTTTAGTTAAAATGCACATGAAATATTCAGGAAAAAATGTATCAGTCTATAAAAGGAGTTAGTGTAGAAATGAAAACGAAGCACTTGCATCTCCACTTCTAAAAACTTCACAAAGGTGCAAACAACATAACGCTTTCCCGGCTCACATGGGCAGGTCTGTACTATTATGTCTAGTTTTCCTGGATGTACCATCGTCTCGTGGCAGTGCTTTCTGCAAGTTTGACATAGCAGCAGTTCTCTCGATGTCTATCACAGCATATAGCTCTGTGCGCCTGGTAGGGGTTTGTGGAAGGGGAGTGGTAGGCGTTTTTGGAGTCTGAGGGTTGTCAGAGTCACTGCCACCTTCCAAATCAACCTGTATATAATTAAGTTGTCTGTGTTCTAAACTAGGGCGTCTGATATCAAAGTTAAAGACTGTCGGTGTACAGTCCCGACGCCTTGAATAGTCTAGTTTGTGAGCACTTGCTGGCACTGTTACATTCTCTGTATTTACATAGTTATGCATTGGATCTAGATTATTATGGTAGCCATTTAGAGATGGGGTCTTTGGTCCTAAATTGTCATCTTCATCTCTACTTAGCTTGCGGGCTTCCCAAACGGGAGGCAAAGACGGTAAATTTTCATAGTTTAATAATGCAGTTCTTCTCTGAGCTGAGTTGTTGATATTCTGGGTATCTGAGGTACTGGTGGACGTCAGACGACCTCTCCTGACCCCTGAGGCACTAGGAATAGATAGCCCATTTATATTTTCATACACCAGTTTGTTAACAGATGGTATATCTCTTCGTTCGTCACTGTCATAGCCAGTGTCCCATTCTGTGTTATTTGCACCACTTCCACTAACTTGATCTCTTCCAAGTTGTTCCAATTTCTCTTTTTCCATTAACTGCTTCTGAACAGGGGTTGGTCCTAAAACAAATTTGACTCCTTCGGGTTCAAGAACAATCTGAGGGTCCCTGTCTTCAATATTACTTGGTTCTTCTTTTGGTGTGTTGTTTTCAGCATTAGAAACTCTTGCCTCCAATGGGACATGCACACTTGCACGGTTTTTTCGTTCTTCTTGCACTCCCGTAGTGTTAACATATGTATGCACCTACAAGGAAACAAAGCAAGTAAGTAAGGTTTAAAACACAAACTAAAATAGCCCAATCATAGCAATTTTTTGATTTTTATTTTATGTATATGAGTGTTATATCTGTATGTGTGTAAGTGCACCCGTGTCCTGCAGTGCCTGTGGAGGTCAGAAGAGGGCGTTAGATCCTCTGGAACTAGAGTTCCAGGGTTGTTAGCTGCCATGTGGGTGTTAGGATTTGAAGCTGGGTCTTCTGCAAGAACAGCCAGTGTTCTAACTGTTGAATCATCTCTCCAGCCCCACGATTTTTTTTAGCATAGCCTCACTATGTAGCCCAAACTAGCCTCAAACTTGTAATCTAATTGCCTCTATCTCCCAAATACTGGGATTATTAGTATGCACCACCAGTCCTGTCTTAGAGTTAATAATCTTATTAACTTTAAAAAAAAATGTACAATTATGAGCTGGGCATGGTGGTACATACCTTTAATCCCAGCACTGGGGAGGCAGAGGCAGGCAGATTTCTATGAGATCGAGGCCAGCTTGGTCTCCATAGCCAGCTGGGGCTACAGAGATCCTATCTCACAAAAGACAGAAAAAAAAAAAAAAATACAATTACTTTAAAACTTTTGCACCATTTTTTTTTATCCTAATAAAAGATGAAGGAGGGGAAAGACTGTAGAAATCTCATTTATAGAAAGAATAACTACTTTAAAATAATATGTAGCATTATACTTATAAAACATACATATATCAGGAAGTCAGCTGCCCATGGTGGCATATACCTCTAGCCCCAGTTTTTGAGAGGCAGAAAGCTATCAAGTTCAAGGTTATATAACAAGACCCTGTCCCCACCCCTCAAAAAAGATTGTTATTTTGCTACTGTTCTAGAAAATCTCAGTAATGTATTAAAACATGATTTAGAAATAAGAAACAAGAACTAAAAAGGAAAACAAAAGTTTTCATCATTTGCTAATGATCTGACTGCATAAACAGAAAACCCCTACGTAAGAGTTCTATAAAATGTATAGATATAAAATAAACACCATCTAGTAACAAACCACTACTCAGAAAACTTCAATGGCATTTTAGAAAGATCACATAAAAATGTTTGAAAAAGCCGGGTGTGATGGCGCACGCCTTTAATCCCAGCACTCGGGAGGCAGAAGCAAGTAGATCTCTGTGAGTTCAAGGCCTGGTGTACATAGGGAGCTCCAGGTCAGCTGAAGCTACAGGGAGACCCTGTCTGAAAAAGACCAACAGGCCTGGTGTACACAGGGAGCTACAGGTCAGCTGAAGCTACAGGGAGACCCTGTCTGAAAAAGACCAACAACAACAAAAGTTTGAAAATATATGCTTAAAACTCTAAAGATTCAAAACGAAATGCAAAACTGAGGAAAAATATAATTATAATAATAATATAAAATGTTTACTATGTAAAGAACACAAAGAAATTTACTTTAAAAACACTGAAAACAGGCCAGGCAGGGTGCCTTTAATCCCAGTATTGGGAGGCAGAGGCAGGCAGATGCTCTGAGTTCCAAGCCAGCTGAGGCTAAAGGGAGACCTTGTCTCAACAAACAAACAAACAAACAAATATACAAACACAACCAAAAAGATCCCCCACAAAAACCAAAAAAAAAAAAAAATCAATTAAAAATCTTAATAGTAAATGATCATACAGCTTACAAAAGATAAATTTATCAGATAATATATACATAATATTCAACCAAGTACTTAATTCCATAAATGAAAACTAGTGAGGAACCCTAAACAGGATGTCCAAATATCCTCAATAACATCCATCTTTCTATTAGTACTTCACTAACTATAAGGTCTAAAATAGCAAAAACAGCATAAATTCTTAACCTACTGAAGATTATTGGGAACTGAGCAATAGTTATGTCTATCTTCATCTATAGATGCATCTCTCCTATAGACCTACATACTCAAAAGTTAAGTTTCTTTGACATCTGTAACTATTTCAGCATATGCTAGCACATGCATGCTATTTCTTCAAATTGTTCACTGCAAAAGTGAAATGTGCAGTGAAAGTTAAAATTCATACTAAGTAACATCTTTAAGTATTAACATATCAACACTTTAACATCACAGACTCATTTTTGCTGTTACACAGAAGCATATGCTTACTTGTTCCTCAGCCACAAGCAAAGGATGTGTAGATTCTTCACCAACTGAAGGTAAGCGAGCACTTCCCACAGAAGGATGCCTGCTTGAGGGATGGGATGAAGCATCTCCAAATGAGGGATATCGGGGATATCCATTAGGTAAGTTCTGAGCAGCAAACCCTGGAGCTGAGTTTTATTTTATTGGTTTAAGAAGAAAGGATGTGGAGTAGGGCAGAGAGAATAACATTGAGTGAGGATCTAAATTGCACTGAGGATTAAGAGAGACATTACTGGCAAGGCATACAGAAATTAGAATATAAACAACACCCTCCTCCAGTTTTACTTTTTATCAACTAAGTTTTCTTTTTTTGGCAATGCAGGTAATAAAACCCAAGGCTTCGGGCTAGGTAGACAAGCATTTTAAACTTAATTTTAAAATATTTTTTTATTTATTATTTTTATTTTATGTGTATGCCTGCAATGCCCACAAAGGACAGAAGAGGCTGTCGGATCCCCTGGAACTGGAGTTACGGACAATTGTTAGCTGCCATGTGGGTGCTGGGATTTGAACCTGGGTCTTCTGCAAGAACAATCAGTGTTTTTAACTGCTGAGCCATCTCTCCAGATCCCAGACAAGCATTTTAATGCTGAGCTAAAATTCTAGCTCTTCACTCAAATTTTAGATAATATAGGATATTTAATGTTTTCATTTTTAAAATGTTTATAACTGTAGATAAGTTTTTAAAATCGATAACCATTATATTGTTGAGTAAATAAGCCATTTCTAGCTGTTATAGATTAAACATTCATAACCTAGTCCTTATAAATGTCCGACATGCAAAATATGAGGGAAAATGGCTACTTACTTGTAGGTGTTCGAGGTGTTCTGGGGACTTCCAATTCGGTCTGATGATTATTCCTTTCGACAACTGGCTCTTCCACCACATTTATACTGTTATTTTGCATAATCTCTTGCAACATGTTAAATAATTCTTCTGCACGGGCACATTTAAACGCAAAAATTCCTACAAATATAAATCAAGAAGGAAAGATGGCAACCATGCCTTTAAAACAACTATAGGACCTTTGGTTAGAAAATTTCTTCTGGAGCATGGTGGTACATGCCTTTAATCCCAGCACCTGGGAGGCAGAGGCAGGCAGACCTCTGTGAGTTTGAGGCCAGCCTGGTCTACATAGCAAGTTCCAGGCCAGCTGAGACCCTGTCTCAAAAAAGCCAAAAAAAATAAATAAATAAATAAAACTTTCTTTTGCAGCAGTGATTGCAGAGACTGATGAAAGTACTGAAAATAAATGACTGTTGAATGCCCGCCCATAAATGGGACACCCTATCACTCCCTCCAAGACTTGGAATATCACAGAAGAGGGACCAAAAAGAATGGAAGAGCCACAGGAAGAGCGGGGAGCAGTGGGAAATGCTGACTTCCAGGCATGACACAGCTGTTGAACTCTTAACAGTAACTGTGATTATGTGCACAAGATCTACATGAGATTGAGTCCATACCCTGTCATGGAGGGGGAGATGGGCCCATCACACTGTCTCTCTCTCTCTCTCTCTCTCTCTCTCTCTCTCTCTCTCTCACACACACACACACACACACACACACACACATGAAAGTAGGAGGGGCTAACTGGGAAGAAAAAGGGATTTGCTGGACTGGAAAGGGAACAAGAGAGTAGGAAGGTGACTATGATCAAAATACATTAGGTACATGTATGAAAATGTCATAATGAAACCTATTTTATGCATAATTAATATAGGGTAATAGAAACATTTTTTGAAAAGCTGTAAGAACATGTATCAAGCTGGGCGTGGTAGCGCATGCCTTTAATCCCAGCACTTGGGAGGCAGAGGCAGGCAGATTTCTGTGAGATGGAGGCCAGCCTGGTCTACATAATGAGTTCTAGACTAGCTGGGACTACAGGAGACCCTGTCCCAAGAAGACAAAAAAAGAACAACAACAACAAAAATCCATATATCAAAGTTGAAAAGTTAAGCACAAGAAATTCTTTTAAATAACTTAACGATAAATTATACGTGTCTTAATTCAAAATATAAATTCAGAAAGCTCACAGATAATTTCCATTTGTCTAAGTGATAATGCCCCAAAGCAAAGAAAGCATGATTTGCACACCTACTCCAGCTGGCTTTTAACAGCAGGAGGAGCCCAACTCATCATTAACAAAGCAACGGTTTATCATCTATCAGGCTCTGGCTAGAGGTTTTATAACCATTATCTTGTTTAACTGTCATGATTCTGTAAGACAGGTATTATCATTCCCTTTTTTATAAAGTTCAACAGAAGGCATGTAACTTGCCAAGGCTATTCAACTAGTAGTAAAATCGTGATCATTGGAAAAATAGTTCAAGAGGCAGCTATGAAAATTCACATTAATCCAAGTTAGTTTCTATTTTTGTAAAATAGTCTGTCTCTGAAAAACCTATCTTGCAGATATTTATTTATTTATTTGCTTATTTATTTATTTTTGGTCTTTTTGAGACAGGGTCTCCCTGTAGCTCCAGCTGGCCTGGAACTTGTAATGTAGACCAAGCTGGCCTTGAACTCAGAGATCTACCAGCTTCTGCCTCCCAAGTGCTGGGATTAAAGGTGTGTGCCACCACGCCAGGCACTTTGTCAATTTAATAAGACTAATTATTTATTTAAATCTTAAAGTTGTTAGGTATCTTGGCATACTCTTTTAATCCTAGTACTCAGGAGGCAGAGGCAAGTGGATCTCTGAGTTCGAGGCCAGCCTGGGTCTACAAAGTGAGTCCAGATCAGCCAGGACTACATAGTGAGACCTTGCCTTTTAAAATAAGCCAAAATTTCTGCTACAGACCAAATGTTTAATACATGTTTGATAAATAAACAATTTATCTTATCTTTTAGTAGCAATCATCCTATTTGGGAGTTTTGTGTTTTTCTGCTTTTTCTGTTTTTGTTTTTGTTTTTTTAAGTTAAATTGGCACAGAGTCTTGTTATGTAACCCTGGATGGCCTGGAACTTGCTAATCAGAATTTGCAACAATCTTGCTTCTGCCTCCCAAGTTCTGGGTATTCAGGCATGTACCACCATAGCCAGCCTTGGGAGATTCTCTTTCAGGAAATAAAACACTACAATGCTTCCAATATGAGAATATCTAGAGAAAATAAATGCTTTACCTACCTTGTCCAGTCTGACACCTTCGACCACTTTCAAAAGAAAAGAGATTAGAGTCATAGCCATAACGTCGCAGGCAGAGGTAGTGCCACTTTACCGAGTCACGTTTTCGGGTGTATAAAATTAGTTCTGTGTCTGTAAGTTCCATTATGCCAGAGCCTAACTCATTCCCATCATCATCCACATTAATGACCTAAAAAGAAATGACAGTGGCTTAAACATTTCACCAATTTCAGGTTAATGGACTGCTGATAATTGGATCCCTTTTATTGTTCACTTGCTAGTTCACTAGCCCATTAATGTGTGTTCAGAGCACGGATGGATTATGCAGCAGTAAAATAATACTCAATTCATATGTGTAAGGAATTTATATTCCCGCTAGGCGTGGTGGCATACACCTTTAACCCCAGCACTCGGGAGGCAGAGGCAGGCAGATCTCTGTGAGTTCAAGGCCAGCCTAGTCTACATACTGAGTTCTAGAACAGCTAGGGCTACAGTCAGACCCTGTCTCAAAAAGATGAAAAAAATAAAAAAGGAATTTACATTCCCATGAGTAAAATAAGATACACAAACACAAGGTCAACACCATAAAACTGTGTATGATTAATTGACAAGTGAGTGTGACAGAGGGTGCAAAAGGCAGCAACTACTGCTTAAGGTGGCTAGAGAAAGTTTCATATAAAAAGAGGGACTGTAGTTAGACCTGGGATATGACTAAATTTAGATAGGAAATCAAATAATTGGGGAAATCTGGTGACTCAAGAGATATATGACACAATATGAGACACAATGCTAAAACAGAATAAAGACGGTACCTTTCAAAGAGTCCAAAATAAGATAGGCACAGACTTCATCTAACCAAAGACTTGTATTGCTGAGCTTCAGAAAATGCCCGAAGATGGGCTAGGTGTGTGGCTCAGTGGTAGAAAGCTTGCCTAGCATGCTTGAGGCCCTGGGTTCCAGTCCCAGTGCTCCAAACAAAGAAAATGGCCAAAGACTAAGAATAAAAGATAACATTTATTGAGAAGCTGTCATTCCCCTGGAACAGGGCCGAGTGTTTTGCATGTATTTTCCCCATTTAATATTTACAACAACCCTAGACTGCAGAACTCCATTGTACAAAAATGGAAATAAAACTTGGTGATCATGTAGGCTGTCCAAGGTAGAGAAACTGTGAAATAACAGGAGTGTGACTTACACTAGGTTTGTGTCATTCAGAGGCTAGGACTTATAGCATACTGATGTTAGGTTACAAGAGGCACTAAATACTTACAGGGGCATTTAGCCTAATTCAGCACAGGTTACTGAGGGATGAAAGAAGACATTGTATTGCAACCACAGGATGGATCACAGGGCAAATGCAGGTATAGTATAGTTAGGAAATCAAGCCAGACATGCCTGCAAAGCCTCTAGAGGAGGCAAAAGGAAGATTTGGGTTACAAGCCAGTCGGGGATACACAGTGAGACCTGTATCAAGAAAAAAAATTCTAGGTATGCACAAAAATGTCTGAAGAGTAGTGCTATAGTCTGGATCTTAAGTATCCCCCACAGGCTTAGGGTTAAAGACATGGATCTTAGTCTGTGTCTGTAGCACCACTTGGAAGGTGTCACCTTTAAAAGAAGGAGTCTTCTGGGTCACTGGGATATAACTTTGAAAGAGACAGTGGGATCCTGGGCCTGGTTCTATATCCTGACCAGGACATACATAAATTTGACATTTCTGCATTGATGTGCCATTTCATCATGGTCCCAAAGCAGTGGAGTTGATATATATATTGAAATGTATTGAACTCTCCAAAACTGACAACATAAAATTCCTCTTTAATGTAAGAATTTTTTTTTTTTTTTTTTTTTTTGAGAAAGGGCCTCCCTTTTACCCCAGCTCGCCCCGGAA